GATCCTCATTTATAACTATACACATGGACCATGGTATAGTTACTAGAAAAAGAAATCGTGTAATGTATCATAATATAAGATTTTCTCTTGTATTTCTATGTGCCCTGAGGATGACAAGATATATATTTTTAGTAACGTTTCTGCCATTACATTTATTCATAATTCGTAATAATTGGGTATTTCATTTACTAAATCTTTTTGTTTTTTTTCTTTTTATTAGTCAGCAGTCCTGACTTTAGTACATAAAATTAATATATGTCATAATATACAACCCGTCCAAAGAGGGGAGGGGGGGTATTGGGCTAATGCACCTTAAGCCCACTGGATCCACGCCTGATAGCACTTAGTATCAACTATTATTTATTAATTCTTCTGTACAATTTTTCCTGCTGTATTTCGTAGTTAATTCAGTATTTATAAAACTAGAAAGTCGTCCTAAGTAAACGCCAAGACCACATTAAATACTCAGTATAGAGTTTGTAATATAGTATTCTGGATTAACTCGACAAAGATGTACCTGCCTATTTTTAAGTCTATATAAAAGGTTTATAATGGAAGGACTTTTTACAACCTTCATTAAAAGGTACTGAACAAAGGAAAAGCAACTTAGTAATGTTGATTTAAAGTTTCATCAAATATTTATCGACTTTAAGTAAATAGTAATTTTTCTTTGTGTTTAGATCTTGGCGGTTTTAAACGTCATCGTAATGCACTTTAGTGTAGCCATTTTAGGTATGCCTATAAATGTAGTCGACATGTTTTAAAAGTAACTATCTATATACAACAATTCTTACAGTTTAACAATTATTTATCTTTTTAGATTTTAAATTGCTAATAAAAATTAAGTAAAATTATGATAGAGAAAAACATTAATCATTCATCGTGTTGATACACGTTATACTTAAAAATCAAAAACAAAATATAATAATATTATTTATACAAAATTTGCGTATATCTATATTGGTTTTGCGCGTTCGGCGTTCCTATTTGCCCAAAAGTATTCACTCCAAAAGTCCTCACTCCTCAACAGGATTTATTCGCAAATTTATTAGTTTTTCAGTTTTCGCGTGTTATACGTTCGCATCGTAAACATTATATTGTGCTTGTGCAATAGATGTGATTCCCGCGTATATTAAATATTATATATATTATTATTATTATTATTATTATTAAGCGCGTGTGCTGTTTGAATGAGCCCGGTGAACGGTGGCAGCCAGTGCGATAATGACTATTATTATTATTATTATTATTTTATTATCATTTGCGTATATATATATATAGCACGTGGATGATATAAAATTTAAACGGCCGTGGCGGCACACAAAAAAAAAGGGGACGACGGGGAAACTTAATTTCACCGGCAAAACTCTGGAAATCGTCTCATTTTATAGTTTTCGCAACCTATAAATTTTATATCCCCCCCTCCCAACACCCACCCCCGCCACCGTCGCCGCCGACATCGAACCCCGGAACGCGAAAAAAAAAAAACGAATACAAGACCGTGCAGCTGCATATTATGCGCGTCCGTACACTGCCACGAGACCCCCTTCCCACACCGCCGCCGCGGCCGTTCGTATCTTATTGAAAACAGAAAACGGCACCCCCAGAAAAATGCGTCCCTCTCACTCGTAAACGGCTTTTGTACTTTATGATCGACACATAAAAACGACTTTATTACCACTGGCCTCCCCTCTTTATCCCGAAACGCGCGCGCGGCCGAAACTTTCGTTTATAAACGGCAAATCCGTAAAAACCCCGCGTGACGTCCGGCGGCGACGGCGGCGGCGGTAACTCGCGCGGCTACACGTTTCTCCGAGCAAAAACAAATAACAATAGATAAATACCTCATATATATATATATATATATATTTATGGTTATATATACAATAAGGTAACCTCCGTGGATATCTAGCTTCTATAGCGGTTTTTCTTCATCCACTTGTCACGAAATGTGAGTTGTCGTGTTCCGAAAACGACGCGAAATTTTATAATTTAAAAACGGTTTATTTTTTTAATATAATAAATCAATAAGTAATTTATATGCACAGTTACAAAATGTTGTGATTCCTCTCAGGTACCTAATATAATATTAAACATATGGTCAACACAACATTTCTACGAATGTTCCGAACTTATAATCATAATAATTAAACAACATGTTAGCTATCTTTTGGTATGATCATACCTCCATAGATATTATAAACTAAATACTTCAATAATTACAAAATGGAATCAAATCCAGTTTCTTTATACCCAATCCGCACGATAGTTATTAATACGCAGTTTCAAAAGTGTCAAATTATAATTATTAGTTATTAGGTGGGTACTTATTTTTGATGAGTTTATTACTATAATTTCGTCTTTATAATAATATACCTATATTATGGTTCTCCCCACACAGTATACATTACCATATTAAATTTATTGATAATAATCCATTCAAATTTTTTTTCTTCAAATTATTAAATTATTGAAATTAACAAAGTTAATACTTATTCAAATTTTAACTGAATTTAATACCAAAATAATATTTAGTTTTAAGAAATGGAAGCTATACGATACTTGTCTCATAATCACATATTGTAATTAATTCAAAGGAAAAATAATATTAATTATTAAAACTCTGCATAATTCTAGTTATCTAGTATCTAGTTCAAACATTGACATTTTAAGAAATTTTACTTTTAAATGCAATATTGAATATTATGCTAGTTTCTATAGATATCCCCTATAATAGAGTAAATATAGAGATACCTTTAAGCTATAGTTGATAATATGTAACTTATAGGTATATACATGTTTTGTAATGTTTGAGCATAGGCATTGAGCATATTTAATAAAAAACATTATATAGTAAATATACGAATATATTTTAAATTTTAAACTATTATTGTACCTAGCTATATAATATAATTATGTAATTATTATCAAATATTATTATACAATTAGTGGTAATTATAATTATAACAATTTTAACAAAATATTTTTATCGATTTATTTATTTTAATAACCACGATTTTTACAAGTGCATGATTATTTTGTTTAAGTATATGCGGTATAGAGCTCTGGTATAGGGCTTGTGTTACAACTAAACTCTAAAGTATAAATAAACTAGACAACAAATATCATGTGTTCGTATAAAATATAACTGGACGCATAGATGATTTTAACACTCTTATAATATAGTCTTATCTAATACAAAGTAAAAATAATAGGTACTTACAAAAAACATAACCACCACGGCTTATTTATTTTTATTTTTTATAAAAGGGATTAAAGAAGGTCATTTCCCGTAATGGCCAATGAAGGATAAAACGCACCACCTAGCTTTTTGTGTATCGGTTTGGTTATTCATCCAGAAAATTAAAAATGAATTTAGTGGTACTTTATGAACCGTACTAAACCATATGGCTCAGAAATATCCACAGAATGTTTACTGGTTTTGAATATTAGACTGGTTTTATTTAAGGCGTCTTAAATAATATAGTGCTCATTTTTTTAAATTTTTATCATTTTTACAAAAATGTTTTTTAGTTTACATCTGACAAAATAAAAGTAGTAAAATATATGCTCATAACCACTTAACATTTCAATTAAAGTGAATTAACAGAATAAAATGTTTGTAAGACCTTTGGTTTCGACGCTATTTCGTGTAATTATAAACTCTCATGAATAAATGCTTTGCTTTATCTTATATTTCTGGTCGTATAAAATGCAACTTATTTAAATTTTAAATGTCAGCTACTGTAATACTACTTGAGTATATAAAGAATAAAAATAAAATATTTGTAATTTGATAAAATTTAAATATTTCTGTAAATTCGTTCAATTAAAGTTTAAAAATAAATATAATAAATTACCTATAACTATTCATATACTGATAAGAACATTTTGTTAGCTAGGTACCTTGTTCTTCCTAGTAATACTCCAAATCAAAAATTATAAACATTCAATAGGTTGGTGTTAAAATGTACATTTAAATTAAATACATACATTAATGTAAATTAATTATCATTTATAAATATCTAGATTTGAATTTAATACAATTCTTTAAAATTTGATTGGCTCTATTAAAATAAGACAATTTTAATTATACACCAGTAAAATAAATTACACACTATATAGTCTCATAGGTTATATTAGTGTTCTAGTTTCTTTAAATATGAATAACTTTAAGTAATCGCTAATATAAAATATGAATTAAAAACATAATTTTAATAATTTTATTGTATTGCCTTTATTTTTAAATACCTACCATGGAAAGACAATACAATTTAGGGTAATGTACTAGCGTAATTTATACGATCAAATAATGCATAGCATTTAAAAATCAATAATTTTCTTTTTAGTCATTACTAACAAAATGTCATTAATATACAATTTTTATTTATTTTAAGTTGCAATAATATCTTATGCATAAAAGCACTAAGATTAAACTTAGTTAGGAATTTAAGTTAGTCAAATAAATAAATTTAAACTAAATAGATAAACTATTTAATATATTTGTATTTTTGCTGGTAAAATAATTTCTTTAAATCTCTCCTCGATTCATCATATTTTTTAATTATATCCAGGTAATAATTTTAATTATAACAAAGATATATTCTCTATTTCTCTATACAAATCTGAATTTAAATTATTGTATAAAATATAAGCTTACGTTTTTTTATCCAAATTATTATTCAACTGTAAAATCGTATTTTATACATTTTTAAATTTGAATTTAATATATTTTTAATTTTGTACCGAAATCAGGTTACTGACTAACAACATATTTATTTTTCATCCTTAAAATTTGTTATAAAAAAATGTATAAGGCATTTAATTTAACTGATTTTAAATTGAAATAAAATATGTGTGCATTTTTAAAATGTTTGTCTCTAAAACGAACAAAACAAAAATGTACACACGCCTACCTAATTAGTAATTACCTAATTTACAATATATAATATTTAAGTGTTTAATATCAACTTAAAAAAACTTATTCAAAATAAACATACCACCAATTTGCTCTTGAGACGTTGAAGAGAACAACAATCATAATGATCTGTCTTAATGTAAGCCACATATCCGAATCCGATTTGTTTTTCACAGTAAATATATAAATTCTTTATTCAATCTGAGATAAAAAAATTATGTGTATGTCCACCAAACATGTAGGTACAGCATAGTAATAGATTTTAAATAAATCATGGTTTAAAAATGTGTGATGGTATTATTTGCGGTCCGTTTACAACAGAACGAGAACGAAGACGAAGTACAAAGCCAGACAATCTAAACCGACCACTTGGGGATGCTTCTGGCAACTGAAACCGAATCACTCGCGGCCATTCCCTTCAGTCAGCCCTCCGACGCTATATATGTGTAGGTACCATGTTTATTAAACTGATTATATTCGTAACCGTACGATAGAAACTTCTCCACGCATGATAACGACTTGACACGGCACCATGGTCGAAACAAATATATTTCCTTTATAATCTTCAACATAATTTTAATTATTTAAAGAGCACAATTCGAGAACCTCATATTTATACGCAGTCAAACTGAGGTCCCAGTGTCACTTTTAATGAAAGGTGCCTTAATTTAAAGTTGTTTAAGTTATACTCTTGTATTTGTAAGGAAAATTGGGATTTATAAATTATTAAAATGGGATTATAACATATTTCATTTAATAGGTATTATTGTATTAATGAATATACATTTTTTAATATTAATATATATATTTATATATACTATACAGTACATTAGTACCTATCTAATTGTTTAGTTTCAATATTTTATTAGTTTATACTTTATTATATTAAATAATAAATTTAATACTAATTAGTAATTACCTATACCTAACCCAACCTAAGCTGCGCACTGCGCGTCCGGTTGACAAAAATAAAATTGTTCACGTTTTATTATATTATATAAATATAATATACCCACACATTTTATAAGATAATATATTAATTAGTACCTATTACATATTATTTTGATTTTAAAGATATTTTTGTTGAAAGAATTTTTTGATTTGTATCAGTACCTACATAATATGTAAAAAGTAATGTTTTAAATGCTCAATGGTATATTTAAAATTACCACTAGTACCAGGGTACAGGAGTAGAAGTGTATAACGTGTATAATACTTCCAAGTATATCAGGAACTTCACCAAAAAAATATTTTCTTTTTTATCATTATCATTTTGAACCCACAACCTCGATAGTTACAAATAATTAATTTATATCCATTTAAAAAATATCCTTCATAATATATATTATTATAAACTTATATTATCTTATAAATAATAATGTTTGGACATTTTAAAGTACATTTTTAGCATCAGTTAATCCAGATTAGTCTAATAAATGCACGCTTAACAAACCTAGAATTTTCATGTTTTTTTTTTTTCAAAAAAGTACTTTAAGAAATAACCAAAACGACTTCCATAATGTACAAACTAATATATATATATAAATTATTAATTTTTAATTTTTAATTTTTGAGTGGAACGATGAATGTATTGATTTTACAATAATGTGTTTTTTTTTTGTGTCTGTGTACACGATAAGTAGTCGAAATTATGCTTGGATTTTCAACTTCAATATATTGTTTGATTGGAAAGTGAATGTCGTTGGTGCATTGGGGAGGTCAAAATTTAAAATTCCCAGTAATTTTCAAAAGCGTCAAGAAAAACAAAAGAAAAATTAAGGAAAAAACGGGAATTTTTACGCAAAATCGATTTTTCAGAAAATTGAATTTGGTTTTTGGTGTAACTTTAAAACAAATGACCGTAGATACATGAAATTTTGACTGAATGTTTATATTAGCATTTTCTATACACGATAACATATTTTGATTTATTTTGAACTGTTTAGGGACATTTTCATTTTCCATTTTTTTTTAGTTTTTTTCTAAAAATATCAATAAAATTTTATTTGTTGGTTAAAAAAGCTTGAAAATGTAATCCCAAGGCTCCTACTATCTTTTTACAATGGCATTTGAAAAATATTAAAAATCACTGGTCACAGTTTTTTTTTTTAAAGCATTTAAAGTTCAAAAATTGTCAAAATATGGAAAAATCACGAAAATTAGCAAATTATTTTGGGTTAAGAATTCATAAAAATTTTTCTTTTTAAATCTAAGGTTTTAAAATGTAATACAAGATTCCTTTTAAGATTATCTACCTTTATCAAAAAAAAAAATGTCTATAAGAAAGTCAAATTAAATTTTTATGAGCGTTTGAAATTCAAATTTTTACAACATTGGATATTCACTCGATTTCTCATGTAGCGATTTCCTTATTTTGTTGTAATTCAAAAACGAATAACTGTGGATACATGACAATTTCACTGAATGTTTATATTAGTATTTCCTATACACCATACAATTTTGAAAATATTTTGACTCTTTTTGAGCTGTTTACGGACATCGTCAGTTTTAAATTTTCTTAGTTTTTTATTCTACAAAATATATCAATAAAGTTTTATCTGTGTGGCCAAAAAGTGTAAAAGTTTAATACAAGGCTCCTGATATATTGTCACAATATCAGTTGAAAAATATTAAAAATACATATGCACAATTTTTTTTATAAGCATTTAAAGATCGAATTTTGACAAAATTTATCAAATTCAAAATTGAATAATTATTTTATAGTTAAAAATGTATAAAATGTTCAACTTTTATATCTAAGGATTGAAAATTTAAAACAAGATTCCACGTAAGTAGTTGATTTTGTTACCAAAAAAACTAAAAAATACACAAGCACAGTTTATTTTTATAGTCATTTTAAGTTCAAATTTGGACGAAATTACATATTAAAATCAATATTAACGATTTTTGTTTTTGTTGTAATTTAAAAATATTATTCGGGGATATATATGAAACTAAAAAATCAAAAAATCAAAATATTATGGCCTATCAATACAATCTACCATAGTATAATGAATAAGAACTAAGAAGTATGCTCTATGGACTATGATAAGACTGTGCATATTTTTTTTTTATTACCATTGATATGTTTATAATTTGTCTGAAACCTAGACTGACATACCGTCTCCGCTCAGAATCGTTTTTCTCATACAATGATATTATATCATTGAATTCAAATTTAATACCATCCATTATACAGACTACAGAGACCCACTTGTAACCTACTGACTACTGTACAGCACTAGTGCACTACAGCAGAGCACCTTTTTACATACGAATACATTTTCACCGAATGTTAATATTAACATGTAAAATACAGTATACACCAACAAATTTTCAAAATATTTTGAATGTTTTTGAGCTATTTACAGGTACCTATATGAAATTTGAATTTCTATTTTATTCATAATGATCGATACATTTTTTTTTGCTACCTAGGTAAAAACTTTGAAAATATATTACAGAGTTCTTTATAAATTGTTTTAATAACCGGTTAAAATTATTAAAGATACATAGGTGATATCTATTTTTTTTATAAGCATTTATTAAAGTTCAAATTTCAAGGTTTTTCGTAAGTTTTCAATACTGTAACCAAAAAATCTAAAAAATATTTAGACATGTCTAACATGCACGGGTTTTTTCTAATGTATTTATTGAGTTCAAATTTGGTCGAGTTTAGATACTTAAACGATAAGAATAATGATTTTAGTTATTTTCATGTAATTTAAAAATATTTTTCGCTATAATATAATAATTATTTATTTAATATTTTTAAATAACTCAAAAACTACTCGTTCGAATTTTGAGTTTGATACATCATTTTTCAAAAAAAATATCCACAAAATAATTTACAGTAGAAAAGGAGGTTCTCATTTCAAAAAAGAAGTTTGTATACCTACATAATGGCTACATGACAAGTAATATAAAATAATGTCAAGAGTTTGAAAATATGGTCTTAAAGGATATTTAAAAATGCAAAAAATAAGATTTTGAATAACTGCATTATTGAAGAAAAAAAGGGTGAGCATGCTTGGTGAATGAATCTCTATTAAAATTTACTTTTGAGCGCAACTTTAATTATGAACGTTTACAATATTTTTTTGAATTAAAATAAACAATTGTAGGTACTTTAGGTAAAATACCTAGGTATTTACTTATTTACTGCGCTTTTAAGAGGCGCTACAGGGCCATTTGTTGTCTTCGTCTTATACAAGGGCGTATTACATAGTAAATTTACGCTTAGGGGAACACGTTTAGCTTATAGGTCCGTTAGTTTAACAATTAGAGTTAATCGACCTATTATGAAAATTGATGGTAAGTGCATTATCTGTGTTGTTCAATGTGATTTTTTTTACGACAGTGCAATTTTTTAGAAAGTTATGCGTATATAATATAGCGTAAATTAAAAATACTTATAACTCACTTAAAAACTGAACCATCGTGAAAAGCACACAGACAAACACAGATTTTGTTCTTTCTATCAATTTTTATAATAGCTAGGTCGATTCACTCTAATTTTTAATCTAATTGAGTTAAACGTGTGAGTTAATCTGCTGAGCGTAAATTTGCTATGTTATGCATCTGTAAGACGGAGACGGCTTCTTAAAGTAGTCTTAAAGAAAAAAAATATAATATTGTACTTTTCATTTAATCAATTTTTTTTTTCAAAATTAATTGATCAATGCTTTGACAGACGACAGTTCTAATAAATTAATATACTTTAATATCCAGTGATCCAGTGATTACAACCTTACATAGGCGGAAATCCATTAAAATTTCAGGGGGCTAACATTCTTAACATCAATGTAAGTGGGGGCTTCAATCCTACAAACTAAAAAAGAAGGGGTCTTGACGTACTTTTGGGGGAGGGCTAAGCAACCTCAAGCCATCACGTCATCACCTATACTATCGCCGGCCGTCATTGCACACAAGTCAAACACGCACAACCAGTGCTTTGCTTGCCTTTCAGTGGCTGGCGGAACACACTAAGCAGGAAATGGACGAATTCCGTGCTGCTACAAAATAAAAAATTATAAATTAAAACCCTGGCGGGTAGTACGTTTCCTATAATGTATGCATAATGGATAATATGTTATTATTATTAATATTATTATTATGCTATCATAATATTGTCTATTTTTACCAGGATG